CTCACGGCGCTTCGCGCTTGGTGATGTGAGAGCCTGGTCCGGTGAGAACCCGGCGTGCTCCGTCCCGGCTTTGTAGGGATGCGAGGTCAATGGTCTATCGACTACGGCATGCACGACTATGAGTACACCCCCCCTCCCCCCCCCCCGGTGTATGCCATCCGGGTTGGGTTTTTGTCGCTTGGTAACGACGTTGTAAACAAGCCCCTCCCTCGGTGTGTGCCATCGGGATTGGGGTTTCGTCGCTTGCCAACGACGTTGTAAAACAAGCCAATTCACTTCGTGAACTCGGCAACCAGGTTACCGTTTTTTTTTTTTTCCTCCGTTTATTTTTTTTGGGCGGTAACCATAATGATGGTTGAGTAGATCATGTTGTGCGGGGTGAACCCTCACTCCGCGCAAGGGGGATGATCGCACCACGTTGTGTTAAAATGGTCAAGCACCCTCGAGGCAGTTACACAGTGCTTACAACTGTCTCTGGAAGTGAAAGCACCAGAAAATAAATTAATTCATACGCAGCTGTCATCCGTACGCAAGGAAGTAAGCACAAGATGCCGAACACCCTTAGCAGGATGCAGCGCACCCTTCATGTGACTCGCCGAATATCTCACGGCGCTTCGCGCTTGGTGATGTGAGAGCCTGGTCCGGTGAGAACCCGGCGTGCTCCGCCCCGGCTTTGTAGGGATGCCAGGTCAATGGTCTATCGACTACGGGATGCACGACCTTGAGTACGAGTACATCCCTACATCTGGAGAGCACACCTTCGAAAATTTTCCGCTACCCCCACTACATCTGGGGGCGCGTGTTAGTACCTTCCCTACATCTGGAAAGCACACCATCGAAATTTAACGCTACCCCCCCTACATCTGGGGGGGGCGTCGTAGTACCTTCCCCTACAGTTGGAAAACACACTTTCAAGACTCGCGTAGCCCCCCTACATCTGAGAGAGTGGAGTGTTGGGGCTGGGGCTGGTGGGTTTCCTACCTTACAAGGCCTCACGCTCATCTAGCTTATCCTCCGAGAATAAGACCGCCATAAACGCTCGGGTATATCATCGAATGAAGACGAACTACAGTTGTTGCTCAACAAAACACTCGTACTCAAGAATAGAAACGCCCGAACCGCGAATCCCCTTTCAAAAACATCATCGTTGGCTGTATAATCGTAAGCGAAACTACAGACGCTCTACGAACACCAAACATATCAGAAGTAGAAACGCCTGAACTGCGAATCCCCTTCATAATCTTTCGGTATCATTCGTCACAGACAAGGTCACTCAAGAAATCACCCACGAATCAGCCAGAAATGAAGTGTCCGCGGCAACGCCGCGCTGTTGTTAGCCCTTCAAAAACACAGCAGTCTTGCGCGGTTTTGCTCCTCTGCGACAAGTCGGCATTCACCAGAATCGCCATGAATGAAATACTCCAGCTCTCTCGGACCGAGTACTATTCCCGCGATCAACAGGCTCGTGTGTTGTGCCGCCCGCTACTCCACCGCTGACGCCGCCGCTGTCCCGAGCGCGAGGGCCCACAGTCTCGGGTAGGCTCCCTGCGGCGACACCCCTCCCGGTTCCCCCTGGGATTCCAACCGCACCCCCCACGCGCCCCCGTCCACCACGGCGCCGTGTGACCCTCCTCCTCCGTCTCGCGTGGGCTGCTGGAGCTAAAGTCCCTCGAAGCTACCGAGTGGCTGCTCCATCCTCGCCTCGGCCCTGGTCTGCTCCTCAAAGCGTTCTGTCAACGCCCGCTTAACACCTCCGAGTTTAGCGGCAAGCTCCTGCTGCGAGACCCCTCCCGACATGTTGCTGGCACGGGCTCCTTTCTTTTCCTTGCAAGGACGGTGGAGAAAGCTAACTCTAGAGTGTTGATAACTCCTAGAGCCGGAGTCTTATGCCGGGTATGCCCGTATTTGTGTCCGGTGACTAGAAAGTCTCGTTGATGGCTTGTATTAGATCCGCAAGATTAACGCACGACAGACAGGGGAGAACGAGAGTGATAACGCAGGCTGACTCAGCATAGGGGCACCGCTGACTCATCTAAAGTCTACCACAAAAGGTACCATCGTATGTCCCTTCATCTACGAAACACAGAACCGTCCTCAGATCCTTCCCATATATGCGCACACACGAACATCTTGTAGCTCCTATTAAAAATTCGACAGCGAGACGGTCTCCCTTGTGCCTCCAGTCACAAGCATATGATGATTGTATCAACGATAGCTGGATGCTGGGATGCCCGGCAAAGATGCTGCGAGTCGAAAGACACCGAATGAATGAGAATTTGCTTCCAGGGCGCAAATAAGGACTGGTCGGATTTCAGAATCCCTTCAGTGGGTGGGACCCCTGAAGTCCGACAAAGAATGTCAAATGTCGAAACAGGTGCGGTAAGAGGGTGGCCTCATCTCACACTTTCGGGTAGAGAGCGAGACGCACTCTAAATTTGCTGGTTGCAACGATCTCTTGATACTCCACAAATTAGCGGTAGAGCGTGTACCTGGGAGGCCACGTGGAGGTATATAAGCCTTTATGCCCGCGTCCTACAAGTACATCGCCGTAAGGTCTCCCAAACAGGACTAAACGTTTGCTTCTAAAAGTGCACGATTTCACCCAAATAGTGCACCCACCTACCGTAGCATCACTCAAACGTCGAAACAGCTGCTGGGAGTACTCAGCAGGGTATGGTATGCATTTCTTGTCGCAGCAGTCGGTCGCAACAAAAGCGCTAAGTGTCCATGTTGGTTCTCCGAACCAGACCCAGCAAGTGAGGGCAACATGAAACTCCAAGGCTACAAAAGTTCAAGCCCGCACCTGCTCATCGGTCCGCACCCAGAATGCTGTCCCGCTGACTACCACCTCCGTCCAGTAGGGAACCGAGATTGCTGCGGCTCCCAACGACAGGCCTAGCAAGACGAGTATCAGCGTTGGGGTGCTGGCACTTCTGACGCGCGACAAAGTTCGATAAGACTGCAGGCACGCACGCGGTACACAGCAAAGACCGGGGAGGGAGGGGGAAGGGGAGATACTCTCATGTTTTGCATGCCGTAGCGGCTATACCACTGACCACGCGTCCTTGAGAGGACGGAGTATTGTTTCCACAGGACCGATCACCGATGGCCAATCGTTCCTTCCTGCGTTGCCAAAGGTGGCTCAAAAACGTCTGCCCCATTGTAATCTTATCTATCCTATCGATGTCGTTTCCCGCCTTTTCCATCTACTTCCTTTGCCCCAGTGCGGCAACCGTCTTCTCCTGGGTATTTGACGCCTCACACATGTCCCTGTATGATAACTTCCTTCTGTTTCCCAGCTCAGTCATGTACACTCCCCTCTCCTTGTGCAACGGACATTCCGCAACTACATGAAATTCCGGGGGGAGCCGAAGTAACACCGCCAGCATGATTAACTGCGCCTGGCCGTACCACACGGAGGGTACACAGCCGCCAAGACGCGCGTCTCTACATGCACGAAACCTTGAGAGCAGTTTTTTCTAGTGCCGGACGCACTATCAGTAGCATGCTTACTATGCCCCCACAAACCGAGAGCGCAATTATTTCTGGTGCTTGGCGCAAATCGGTAGCAAGTCTATATTGCGCCACAATCAAAGAGTCATGCTGCAGTACCTACATCAAACCATTTGTTATCGCTTAGCACGCGTAGTGGTGCACTGACCATGATGATTTGGGCGAGGTTGATGCAGATGGCGAGGTTGGTGATGGCCAGCATGTTCGACGCAGCTAGCTCGAAGAACTCGAAGGTCTTGATGAGCGCCGTGAGCCCGTCTCCAGCCCAGCAGACCGATATCATAGTCGCCTCGGTCATGAAAATCAACTGGTGCAGCAGGCCACTGGATGCACATAACGGTTTCCAAGCACGGGGGGGGGGCGAGAGAGAGAGAGTTAAGTCAGCACAACGGTCAAATCACATAATGACAGCACAACGGTCGAATCAGAGACCGCAGCCCAACGGATTTCGATCGCCAATGTGCAATACCTCGTAGAAACAAAAATGTCACTTGATGTGCATTTTATTCAGCGGTCGGGCGTTGTCACCGGGGTGGGCAGCTTGGCTCCGCGGGAGGCACCCCGCTAGACTCATCAGGGGCACGTGTCCTCCGGCGCACGTCCTGGTGACGGAAAGAAGAAGAGCTGACTCGGTGAGCGTAGAATACCCTTCTATCAGAACTCCGAATTGACCATCGTCCAGAATGTGAACGCGAGAGGGCGCCACGAAAGGAGGAAGGTATCCACTTGGCGGAGGGGACACGACCCAAGCGAAATCTCGTTCGTCAAGCTTGTGTGCAAACGTGCGGTGGTCTGGACAATAACGTGGCCGTCTAAGTACTCTTCGGCTCGTACACGTTCGTTCCTATTATGTAGCATGCAAGTTTTCGTGGCCAGACCCCGCGAAACAAGGTAACTTGAAAGTCAATCAACGTCTCTCGAGCAAGAGTACGAGGCGATAACTTTCAGAGGGCAACGTCAGCGGCCGTGGCGAGACCGAAGATCGGAGTGGTTGTGCGTCGGCTGCATGGGGGGCAAACGATGCTACAAGAAACTCGACAAAGGTTGAGCGGCAAGACAGCCAACTCCAAAGCGAAAACAGGTACTGCTGTCATCCAGTGCCAAAGTAAGGGATACGGCACAAACAAGATACACAAACGTCGGTGTCTGCTTTTGGAGAGAGCAAACAGTATTCTTCAAAGGACAAGAAGCTAGCTCACGCGTTTCGTGTGGGCAACGTCAACCCTTCTTGGTTTTGGTGCACCAACAGCTGCGCAGTTGCATTCGTTCGCCACAAAACACTCAATTATATTCTTCCCCTACTATTGGCTTCGGGTAAGACATTGCACGCATAGCATGTGCAGCTGTGTCTGTCGTTGCCTTCACGTTTGAAATAGTTTCGGAAGTATTTCCAGGAGCTATGGTCCGTTCGGGCAAATATTCACAATATTTTCCCCTGCACAAAGGTGCACTTTTCTCGGGGTGGGGGTACTTATTCCGGAATCTGAAAATACCGCGTAAATCGACGTTTCAAGGCGCACCTTCGTAAGAATTTTTTTTTTTTCGTCCTTCGCTCGATATGTTCAGATATTCAAGAAATCTTGCTTACTTCTGGAGGGCGGTGTTTTTTGCAGACACAAAATTTGAGACCGGATTTGGACAGCTCTCGTGATTTGCCACCGATGATATTTTTCCGATTTCCAATTTGACAAAAAATAACGGAGTTATGGGCAAAAAACCGGATATTGGAGGGTAGTTTCTTGGGGACAATCCAACCGTACGATTCAAAAATAAAGTGCTGCAATCGATTCCTCTCGTGATTTCCCACCGATGATTTTTTTCCGATTGAAAAAAAAAACTCGGGTTTCGGAGATATTTCGGGTGGTTTCACACGCCCTCGGGGAATTTTTTCCCGCCACACACACACCAGAGGACACACACACACACACCCTTTACGCACGCAACGAAAGACGCACACGCGCTCCGGGCACATGGGTCGCCCAAAGGGTAAGCGCAAGCTGCCAAGGAACGCCGAAGGCACGATTCGGAAGGCTCCTTCGCCCCCTGCGGACCCTGCTGTAGGCAACGACTCTCCTCCCTCTTCCGACCATGAAGGCGNAATTTTTTCCCGCCACACACACACCAGAGGACACACACACACACACCCTTTACGCACGCAACGAAAGACGCACACGCGCTCCGGGCACATGGGTCGCCCAAAGGGTAAGCGCAAGCTGCCAAGGAACGCCGACGGCACGATTCGGAAGGCCCCTTCGCCCCCTGCGGACCCTGCTGTAGGCAACGACTCTCCTCCCTCTTCCGACCATGAAGGCGCCAATATTTTCTCCCATGCACACCAACGACCACGACGACGACTGGGCCCACCGCCGTTCTCATCGGCCTGCCGAAAGGAGGAAAGCAGCTGCTCATGGAGATGGGGCTGTGGGAAGGCGAGCCAACCCTACGCGTTCACGAGTGCAGCGCGTGCAGGGCGGAAAAGGCGGCAACAAGGCAAGCCATTACCGCCTTCAACCGCGGTGGAGAGGGGCGGCAGCAGGTGGTGGACAACACGGGGCAGGGAGAGGAGGACGGCGGAGAGGACGGGGACTCGGGTGGGAGCGGGGCAGCTGGTGAAGCAGGCAAGAGGCGTCGCTGCTGCGTCGTGCGCGTTCTGTCTGAGCTCAAGGCGTTCAGGGAGGAGCTCAACATGGTTGAGAAGCTCTTCAAGGCACACGGGCACCTGTGCATCTTCTTGCCGAAGTACCACCCAGAGCTCAACGCAATCGAGCGATACTGGGGGTACATCAAGCACCTCCTCCGCCTCCACTGCGAGTATTCCCTTCGCCACATGCTCCAGGTCTTGCCCGGCGCGTTGAGCGGCGTACCCGCACGGTTTATCCGCGCATGGAGCAGGGTGACGTGGCTGTACATCGAAGCCTACGACGAGGGCCTGGAGGACTACCTCGAGTACCGCGATCTCAAGGAGTGGGGGAAGCACCGAGAAGCCACCGCCAGGGGAGATGCCGTGATTCAGGCGAGGGGGGCGGGGAAGACGCCGGAGCAGAAGAAGGCAGCCGAGGCGAAGGCGCTTGCGGCTGCGCAGGAAGTGCGCAAGAAGTCGATGGCAGCGACCAGGGAAGCCTTCAACACGTGGACGAGCAAGAGCGCCTCCCGGAAGGAGCAGCTACGGCTGTGGATTTTGCGCAACACGATGAATTTTTGGAGGAAATGGTTGGGCGGGCACGCTCAGGCGTGAGTGGGGAGGGTACGTATGTATATGTCGCGGTGTGTGTTAGTGTTGGTTTCTCGCGTTTAGGCGCGGTAGAGGCGTTCGTCATGGTCACCAACTCAACGCTATAGCTGTCTCTCTTGGTATCGGACTTGCTTAGAGAGAACGGATGTGATTGCTGCATGCTTTGTTTGCAGCACCTTCACCAGCCAGGGGTTGAGTAGAAAGTAAACGGTGGTATTGTATGTATGTATGTACATATGTAACGTGTACATAATGTAAATATGGATTGACAACGGTTTAGCTGATGTTCTGAAGGCATATACGTGTAGAAGGGAGGGGTTGAGGGGGGGTCGTGGTGTACTTTGGGGGCTCCGTGGGGTCATGAGGGGTTGGGGGGGGTGGGGGCTCCGCGGGTCATTTTGGTCAAAAATGTCGCATTTCACCCAATCACCAAAAACTCATCGGATATCGACGAAGCTCGACGCCGCGGTCACGCCCAAAGTTGTTTCACTTTCCAAATCGTTTTCTTTCGAAAGACATCGCGAAAAACAAGATTGTGAATATTTGCCCGAACGGACCATATTTCCAGTAACAGCAGTCCAAATGGACTAGACTATCCTCCTGGAGGTATCAAGAAACAAACCTAACAGCAGATAATTTACGTTGAGACGTCTTCTATGAGGCTTTTCACCCTGCTCGAGTTCACACGTACTCGCCCCTCCCCAAGGCGTGCTGTACTTCAACACTGCCTTCTTCGACGAACCCATCACCCCGGCAACCTTCGACAGGTTACGATTGTTCCCGGGAACATACGAACGAACATGAACCAAGGCACACTGGAACTGGTGGCTTGAAGGTTTTTCGCGTGGGTACAATTTTTTTAAGAGCACAACAAGACCGTTTATTACAGCTTTGGATACTGCTGTAGACTACTCAACGCAATCGTACGTTTAGTACGGCTCTCGATAACGTACTGCTGTACTAAAGGTTTAGTACGGGGTTTCGGCCGGTACTGTACTCGACCCAGTACAGTATTTCACCCGCAATACTGCTGTACTGTACTGGGGTTTTAGTACAGCTTTCAATACTTTACTCAAAACAACAGTACGTTTAGCACAGGTCTCCATACTGTACCCGACTCAGTACAGTACCCAGCTCTCCCATACTGTACTCTGTGCTGGGGCTTTAATCCCCTTGCTTCCCCGAGTCCGGTCCTATGCCCGGGCCCACTCCGGCTGGTCCAACAGGGTTCGCTCCCGATCTGCTGGCCCAGCCGCCTTCCAGCGGCTGCCGTGGTCCTTGCCCACTATCTCTCGCTTGCTGCTGGAGAAATCCCCCGCCTCCGCCGTGCGGCAGCAGGGGCTGATCTTGGCCTCCGGTGGCGGCAACCCAGCCGCCACTACTGGCTGCATCCGCCACGACGCTAGCAGGCTCCTTCTCCAGGGCCGCCAATTGCGAAATCTGCCGTTGCAAACTTGCAAGCTCCGCGTCGCGGCCCTCCTGCACCGGCGGGCGGATCTGTTCTCCGCTCGCAGCAGCGCGCTCTTCGTCTCCAGCAGAGCTCATCCCGATGTGGCTTCCCTCGAGGGGCAAACTCTAGAGTGTTTGCGGCCTACGCCACTTATTTATCGGGTGAGACTGTTTCGGTGATGTATTAACTTCACGGGAGGTAGACGACCATCCTTCACACGGACGAAAGAGGGAGTGCTCAAAGAGCGGCTCCCACAGCAAGGAGGGGGGCCCGTGAATCATCGCCGTGCCCCCTATCAAACGGTTATCTTACCAGTCTGCGTGACACAATATCATCCAGCACATACATGTATCCAACAGCAATGTTCGCAGACTCACGAACAGCGCTTTGGTGCGTTGGCAGCGCTTTTTTCCGAATCCGATATGTTGGTGGGTCCGCCGGGAAGGTCTCCAACCGGTGATTCCCGCGCGCGAGCCCTGCTGGCTGTATCTTCGCGGACGCGGAGTGTGTGTGTGTGGTCTGTCTCTGCACAACTGCTTTGATGTTTCCCGCCGAAACAGGTTCTGCGCAGCAAAAAAAACGTTTCGGAAAAGTCCTCCTGTAGCCCGCGTTCTGC